TATTATAGCATTACATAATGGGGATATTGTGAAATTTGTGCACAAAATAAAAAGTTTTGATCCTTACTTGTAAGGTATTGCTGGTTTGAATTGTATGTATCACCAACACGCCCCTTTGTTTTATTTATCTGGCACAATACGTTTGTTGATACTGGAATCATAGCTACATAGCATAGTTTGATTTGGAAGGCACCTTTTGATCTTGGCTTATCTCCAGTTTGCCTCCTGGTAACTTTTTTTGCATTCAGAAGTAGATATGTACCTGCAACTACTGTTTTGGTAATTTGATTTCTAGAGTCAAGATTAAGAGATTATTTCTGTTGAGGTTTCTAATTCTTAGGTGAAACTATATTTATGCATTGATAGGTGTTTCATTTTTGCCTTTTCAATCACTTGCACACAAGCAAGCAGTTGTGAGGACGGCACTTAAGAGAATAAATGGCAAAGGTGTCACTGGGACTTCAGTTACATATCTACTTTCTTTGGATAGTTGCTCAAATAAGAGTTTGGTTTTTTTTGTATAAAATTCTAAATATGCAGTTCCAACACTATATCTGCTGCACCGTTCTGACCACTGAGAATGAGTTTGCAGTGTTGCTGGTGTTGGCATGTGTGTATGTATGCATATCCATGTATGACATCTAAATAAATCGATTTTATCTTGATGCTGAAATCACTCTTTGAAGTGATTTTTCCGTTCATCATGTTGAGAATCTTGGTGAAATAAAAAGAAATCCTTTTAAATTTTTGTTAGATAGAAGTGTGAATTAGTAAAGCCGTACTGAACTGAGTGTCAGGGCTTACTGCTTAGCTCTCCAGGCAGTTAGTGAGGTTGTGTCCCACTGCACTGCCAGAGCTCTCACCTGCCGGGCAGGAGCTTTGCTTATGGTTTCACTGCAGGTGTTCAGGACTTTGGGTAGAACGTGGCCTGTCTGGCTGCAGAGAAGGAGTGATGATTTTCACTGGAGTGTTCTGATATCTATGGATGCAAAGTGTAAGAGCTACATTTTCTAGTGACTAGAGTTCAGCCTGTATTAACTGGCTTCTGTTTCTGAGGAAGTGGGCACTTCCTGCGTTTTTATGAGGTAAAGTAATGAAGTTTTAAATTGTTGTGTAGTTGTCACCTGATGGATTTTGTATTGGAGTTCAAACCAGACATGAAGCAGACTGACTTTCAAGGCTGTTTTCCAATCAATAATATGCCACATTCAACCTTTTGTTGTGTGCTCTTCTACAGATAATTTGGGCAAACTGCCTCTATCTTCTGTGATTCCAATGGGCACTTTGGAGGAAGTGATTAATGCAAAAACAAGTTCTAGGTGTTTGCGTAGTGCTGCTTGTATTATCAGAAGTTTTTTGTACTTCAAAATTATCTCAGTTGTTGGGATATTATGTGGGTTTCTTACCCTTCTTTAGTTTTGGAGTTTTTTTAATGGCTGCAAAATTAAACTCTCTTTTTCATCAGTGGGGATGGAGTTTCAGTACAGCAGTGGTACTGTGTGGCATGTTATATAAGGCCATCTAAGAGTACAATATGCTGACTTTTAAAGAGTAATTAATATTTCACTGCTATGAGAGGTATAAACTGGTAAAATGTTCTATGATCAGTCACTTCCCTATTTTCAAAGATTATTTCATTAGTGTCTTCTAGACACCCCCCCCAGCCTGTGGCATACTTGATGGCAGTTTTTCTTTGATACAGCTAGTGTTAATTAGTGTGGCTGTTGTAAATCTGCAAATTTACAAATGCAGTCTGAAAGGAGTAAGAGTGATGAAGACTTTTGCCCAAAATCTTTCATGATTATAGCTGATAAGGTTACATTCCTAGGTTAAAATTCTCTTGACTGAAGGTACATATTTGCAATGATGTCCTGAGTTCTCAAACAGATGGTGCAGATACTAGCTCCTACAAAACGCAAAGGAGGAGTGCACTGATTTATGCAAATCCCTGCTGATTTTTCTTGTCCTTTCTCTGTCTTCTGAGGAGTAATGCATGGAGGGAGTATCATAGAATCATTAAAGTTGAAAAGACCTCTAAGATCATCGAGTGCGATCTTTAACTGATCATCACATTGTCGACCAGACCAGAGCACTGAGTTCCACATCCAGTTGTTTCTTTAACATTTCCAGGGAGGGTGACTCTTCCACCTCCCTGGGCAGCCTGTTCCATTGCTTAACAACCATTTCAGTGAATAAATTCTTTCTGATTTCCAACTTGAACCTCCCTTGCTGCAGGTTGAGGCCATTTCCTCTTGTCCTGTCACTTGTTGCCTGGTAGAGGCATTTTTGGTGTCATGGAGTACTTTGTTTTGTTTTTGTCATAATTTTCATTATGACCCTCCTAGCTTTTCTATGGATTTCTGTTCTCAGACATGCTACAACAGTTATGGTTTGTAATGTGGGTTTTTTTTTCCAAGGGTTCCTTGTTGCTGAGCTAATTTAAGAAAATGCGAGGGATCTTTTCTCACACCTCAGTGTGAGTTAAAATGAGTGTAATTTGTGTTATTCACCTGGCTGCGGGAATGCTGAATCATACTTCAGTGAGTGAAGGAAATTAAACAGGTGCAGACTTAGAAGCAGAAACTAATACTATGTTGGCAGACACACAGCTTCGTGTTGTAGTTATATGATGCTTCTCCGCTGCTACTGTATGATGTCAGTAAAATTAAATACTTTATGTGGTTTGTAAACATCTATTCTTGTTTTTTAAAATTAAATAAGAGTTTTCATAGAACATAATTTTTGAAGGAAATTTCTTTTGAAATCTAGTAAGAAATGTTAAGTGCCTATCACTCTGATGTTCACAGGTTACTTCCATGACTTCTGTTTGAAGACATAGGGCAGCGATCCACTACTACTAAAGCCATTTTGTGGGCTACATTTGCTGTGTAAAACCCTGATGAATAAATGTAGTGCAGATGCAAAGAGAATTTATATGATTCTTTTGAGTGTGGCTGCATCATCTCCTACAGAAATAGGCATGAGGCTCAGCACAGAGCCCTTCTAGGACTTAGTGAACCTTGTGTCCAGTTTTGACCTGTGCCTTCAGCCAGTTTCTTGGATACATAATAGCTATGAAAACCTTAAACACTTCGACCTACTTTTGAGGAAAGGTTAAGAGAGGACCTAATCATAGACAGGTGCCCAGACTCGAATTTTACAGGACTTTGCCCTAACTTTACACTAACTCCCAGGTAGGGATGAAAGCTAAAGCAAGACGAAATGCATTACTTTTTAACAGTGAGTGTACCTGACACTGGTGTGAGTTTACAGAATCACAGAATATTCTGAGTTGGAAGGGACCCAGAAAGGATCATTGAGTCCAGCTCAAGTGTCGTAGTTCTCACTACCCCCCAAATGCTTGAGTTTATATATAGCAAAGAAAACTGTCATAATTCTGAGCTATTGTTCTATGTGGCTATAGTGAGCCTAAATAACACGGGTTCTCTCTGCATATGCTGAGATACCATGGAAGGTAACAAATGGGACTTCTGACTGAGCATGATTTCTTTTTCTTCTTCACCTGTGCTAATTCTGTAAGAAATTACAGTGTGTGTAAGTTTCATTATGACTGTCTGGTTAACTGCAGAGATAATTTTTTTCTTTAGCGCATACAGTGGATGTGTCCAAATTTAACTTGTGCTTTAAGGTACATTCTTGTTTTAGTTTAATGCTATGTGCCTGACCCCAAAAGAAGAGAGGTTAGGGAGATGTTTCAACTTGAAGGAAGCTGTTAAAAAACTGAGGAGTTCTTACTAGCCATTTCAAACTGTAGTGATCTTCCTGGACTCTTTCAGAAATATTTCAGCCATAAATACTGTTGTCTTGAAAGTGCTACTGCTATGCCAGCACTGATGAATAATTAAGTATTGTTATGGTACAGTACCCTGCTGAACTTTATTTTGGTTAACGTTACTAGAATTTATTATGGAGCTGCTAACTTGATCCTGTGTACAAATAAAATAAAACCTTCTTGTGTATGGGTATATAATCTATGGATTGCTTTTATTTTCTAGATAGAATAGATAGATTCAGGACTTTTGTGAATAAATAAGATCATTTTTCTTCTGACTCTTAATAAAACATGGCAAGTGGTGCCTGCCTCTCTGATGTGTGTAATGCCTGGGTTTTCCCCAGGTCTTGCTATCCCAAATTGATACAAGGAAGTTGGGATGATTTGGCAGGTACTAACCCTGCCAAAATTCCTGCAGCCTCAGTGCTGTTCCTGCTACAGTCCTGCCTGCTCCTGAATGGGGTGTCCATTGGTAACCTGGTCAGTTCTCTAGCTGGAGATTTAAGGTTGTGGCTGAAAACTGGAAGGGTTCCCTTCTGTCCAATTCTGCTGTATTTCAAAATTCTTGTCATTTAACCCCAACTTTCCACAGATGTTTTCAAGGTCACAGGATGCATGTATCTACAAAGGGAGAAACTAAAGTGGCAAAGTAGTCACAAGAGAGTGCTGTAGCTTGTTCTCTTTGTTTTTTAAGAGCAGATGGGTATAGAATCTTGTTGTGCACTGCCCTTTAGGCAGTGTGTACTTGACCTGTTTGCTTGCTTTCAAAGGAGCGCTTTATGCTCCCTTGATCCCTGTTGCAGGTTTTTACTGTTTTTCTGCTGCACTGGTGAGAAAACTTGCAGACCTTTAACTCCATCATCCTCTCTGCTTACTGCCAGGATGTGCTGTTTACTCCTAGCAGCTTAAGCAAAGTAAACTTCTTCGTTTCCCAAAAGAAAGATGAAACAACTCTGAGAACAAGGATGTAGATTCACTTACAAATACATGTATGCATATGGAGATAATGGGGTGTTCTAACTGTCATGATGGGCAAGGATCACAGTGGATTCCTATCTCCTTGGTGTCCTTCTGGCTCTCATGCTTTACCTGGTATGTGTTTACAGTCCATTTTCAATTTGTGGCCATGTCCCACATGAATTCATATAGACTGTGAATTCATCTAGAGATTCTATGATGAAAAAAAAGTAATTTTTTTCCCTCCATCATAGGGCATAAAATGTCCATCTTCTTTCTTCTCAGGTGTCTGTCCTTAGTTCAATCCTTCTGTCTGGACCAGTGCTAGTGGTGATAATATATTTTAATATTTTCTCCAGGAGTAAGTTATTCTCCATTTTGCTGGGTAAGAGCCCTTAGGGAAGTGTGAGACAAGGAGGAACACCAGTGTATCTATGTGACAAACTTTCTGTACATCCTATACTGGAATGCCAAATTATTGCTGCTGGGGACTGGTCTTTTGGTTTGTACACAGTCCCTGACCCAGTCAACAAAAACTCTTCCTCCGTTTAGCAGAGAAGCTTGATCAGGAATGGCTGATGTTGCAGCTGTATGTAGCTAATAAGCTGCACAAATTAAAGACTTCCTGTGTTGAGTTTCTCTAAGAAGCTTGCTGCCATGTCAGACACAAGTGAAGGTGACGGATTGTGATGTGCATTCCCCCCACCCTGAGGATTCTTTAAGCAATCTTAAAACACTCATTTGTAACACAAGCATGCATCCAACTGCTGGAACTCCTGTCTTCTGCCTGGGACTGGGATAGTGGTTCTCTGCACAGCAGGCAGGGATGCTCAGAAAAGCAAAGTTAATCTTGCCATGTAACTGCCCCACAGCTGGGATAAGTTATGTGTTGTGCTGTTTGATTTTTGATTTATATCAGCTCACAACTCTGAACCGTTTTGTAGCCTTGTTTGCTGAATAAAAGAACTGTCCTGCCAAAGCCATCTCTGAGTGGATTGCTGCAGTCATATCACTTCTGGTAGCCATCTTGCAGTCCTGATTTCCCACCTCAGATATAAAAGCCTATGAAATGTCTTTTTTCTCGCTTTTACATCTCGGCCAAAAAAACTTAAATGAAGTCCACTTTACTCATTTTAATTGGTAATGACACTGGTAAGTTAGAGAACATGTTCAGCAAGTCTGATAACTTGACTGTTCTGTGAGAGTTTTTGCCATTTTTCTAAGTCAAATGTAGTGTCCAGTCAGGAAGCTGGCTTTCTTGTGTCTCCTGAAAAGAAGTTCCATTTGTGAAGGTTGTGAATGTTAGTTTTAAGTGAGGGTCAGCTGATAGAGCTCCAGTGCTTCCTTTTAGGTTTTTATGCTATTTTTACCTGTTGATTTTCTTTTTAGAATACCTGAATTTTCATAATTTGATTTAAATTGTTCATATGTCCCATTACAGCATGTAACATAATAGAAAAAAAAAATCCACTAGTATATTGTGATACATTGGATATGCTTCCTGCATCTGAAATCAATGAATGATGTTGAGATCTGTTTGTTCAGTTGGAAAAGCAGGTATGGTGGCAATTTTATGTCTTTAGACTTCTGCATTAATAGGAACTAGAATAGCAATAAAAGTCTGGAGGTTCTTGGATGCTTGATTAGTGCCCAGTCTTGGAAATGTAAGGTAATGTTACAGATTGGCATTCTCAGGCTGACAGTGTGTGTGTGGTTTTTTCAACAGGAATCTGTGAAAAGTGCGTTTCTTTACCTTTTGTTTGGAACTCTATACATTTCTTTAAGGGCTCTTTGAAGGCCCTTCCTGGTGTTTGAGTACCCATGGCTTTTAAGTTAGGTTAAAATTTAAATGTCAAATTATTCTAGCTAGCAAGTCACTGCTGTGTCAGATGAGCTTCAAAGTTCACATCATGTTTTTTAAAAAAACCTAAAAATCACAAATTAAAAAAAAAAAGGAAGTTCATGGGTGGCTCAAACACTTTTCTTTCAAATGTGCACACACACATGCCTGTGACTTTTCCTTAGGAGATTTTTCAAACTTCATGAAGTACCTTCCAACAGTTATTCTTGGGAAGTCTAACAATGCAGTTCCCTGCAAGTAGTACTGTAATACCTGGCTTGAACACCTACTCAGGGTTCTGAAGTGTTTACCTTGCCTAATGGCTATAAAATTTATATTCTTTTGGGAGGGATTGTTCTGCACTTCTTGCCAGGGAATGAAATTGCAAAGTTTCTTTGAGGACAGACTGTCCCAGGGAGACTGGGATGTATTCTGAGCAATTGCATTGTGAATGTTGCAGAGGGATAATTGGAATTACCGAAATGCAAGAAATGTGTAGATTAAGACTCTACTTTTTTATTATATTGAGTATTTATGCTAAATGTTTGGTTGTAATGCATCTTTAACAGATCAATGTGGTGATTTAACTTAAACGTTTGCTTTTGAAATGGAAAACTCCGTATTCATTCTCTGTTTTAAATATTCTAATTTTTCTTTCAGATTACTCTTTACATCTGTAGAAATGGACAGCAGCAGTTTCATTCAGTTTGATGTGCCGGAGTACAGCAACACTGTTCTGAGCCAGTTAAACGAACTCCGCTTGCAAGGGAAACTCTGTGACATAATTGTGCACATCCAGGGCCAGCCGTTCCGTGCCCATAAAGCTGTCTTAGCTGCCAGTTCTCCGTATTTCCGTGACCATTCAGCATTAAGCACCATGAGTGGCCTATCTATATCAGTTATTAAAAACCCCAATGTTTTTGAACAGTTGCTTTCTTTTTGTTACACTGGAAGGATGTCCTTGCAACTGAAGGACGTTGTCAGTTTTCTGACTGCAGCTAGCTTCCTACAGATGCAGTGCGTCATTGACAAGTGCACGCAGATTCTGGAGAGTATCCATTCAAAGATCAGTGTCGGTGATGTTGATTCTGTCACTGTTGGTGCCGAAGAGAATTCAGAGAATCGCAATGGCGTTAAAGACAGCAGCTACTTTGCCAACCCTATTGAGATATCTCCTCCCTATTGCTCTCAGGTGCGACAGTCAGCAGCAGGCAGCGATCTTCGGATGGAAACTACTCCGGGCAAAACTCTTCGTAGTCGTCTGCAGGAAGAAGGGCACTCAGACCGAGGGAGCAGCGGAAGTATCTCTGAATATGAGATTCAGATTGAAGGTGATCATGAGCAAGGAGACCTGATAGTGAGGGAAAGTCAGATTGCAGAGGTGAAAGTTAAGATGGAAAAGTCTGACAGGCCAAGCTGCTCTGATAGCTCTTCCCTTGGTGATGATGGATATCACACTGAAATGGTGGATGGAGAGCAGGTGGTGGCAGTAAATGTTGGTTCCTATGGGTCTGTCTTACAACATGTTTATTCATTTACCCATGCCTCATCACAGGCTACGGGTGTGTCAGAAACCTTTGGAAGCCTGAGCAATACAAGTCCTTCAAGGTCAATGCTGAGCTGTTTCAGAGGGGGTCGTGCACGCCAAAAACGAGTACCTGCGGGTCACTTGCACAGTGATGTCCAGGGCCTGGGGCAAGGGGCTGACAGTGAATCCATGGTGAGTAATCCAGGATATGAAAATAGTCCACGGGAAAGAAACACAAGAGGTCATTGGTATCCATACAATGAGAGGCTCATTTGTATTTACTGTGGCAAATCTTTCAACCAGAAAGGGAGCCTTGATCGACATATGCGATTGCACATGGGAATAACTCCTTTTGTGTGCAAGTTTTGTGGAAAGAAATATACCCGTAAGGACCAGCTTGAGTATCATATTCGTGGTCACACAGATGACAAACCCTTTCGCTGTGAGATCTGTGGAAAATGTTTTCCTTTCCAGGGTACACTAAACCAGCACTTGCGAAAAAATCACCCGGGGGTTACAGAAGTGAGAAACAGGGTTGAGTCTCCAGACAGAACAGAAGCGTTCGTGGAACAGAAAGTAGATAATGATGCTTCAGCCTCTGAAGCCATGGATTCTAGTATGGAAATTCATGCAATGTCTAACACATCTGATTAAAATCTTACATCTAAGTGAAACACAGACAAGCACATTACTAATGTATTTTTTAAGTATTTTATTCTTTTAGTAATCTTCAGTACAAGTGTAACAGCCTTTTAATTTTCCTGACCTTCTGGAAATCAGTTAGAAATGGTTTCTGGTGAAGATTTCAGAAGTATTCTTTATTTTTGAAGGAGGCTGAATTGTTTGGAGTTTGTTTTTTTATATTTGAAGATGCTCAGAATATAAAGACAGTGTCCTTGGGAAAGGCTAGGAAGAGTCTGTTAAAGTGTCCCTGCTGATTGATCTGGTGAGACACAAATGCCAGTGGAGAAGGATATTGGAATAAGATTGGCAGCTCTGCTGAAGCTCAAAGAAGCTGTAATTTCCTTTATTTCTTAAATCTTGTTGCTGGTAATGTGTTACACAGCAGTGGGGAGAGAGAATATTACAGCTTTGATTCCTCTTCTGTCACAATGAAATCTGTTCACTCTTACTGATTGGTTTTGGTAGTGAGTCTGTTTATATATATAAATTTGCTTTATATATATAAAATGCTTTCACTTTCCCTGTTCTGGTTGAGGTGAACGTAGAAGTATGTCAAGGCTAATACCATATGCCACTTTATCAATTGTTAGGACCCCTGTCTGCTTAGGGTTTAGAACTTTGGACTTTGGAAGGATGGTTTTGGTTTTAAATGAATGTTGTTTGGTTTTCATTTGATTAAACTATTTTTGTGCAAAAGTGAGCAAAGTGAATTACCTTGTTTTAATAGCTTTGCTTTATGACATATGTAAACCAAATGCCATAAATCTATTAAACTATGGTTAAATTGTTGAAAGGTTTTGTTAGTTGTCTAGAATGCAAGCTGGACAACCTGTGGTGCTGACCTTTTTATATATATAGAGATAGATATATCTATATATATATATAGATATAGATAGACACACACACACACACACACACATACACACATATATATATATATATAAAATATTAACAAACCTAAAAGTAGCATTGTGGTCTAAAATGTGTTTTTACTGGCCTCAGAATCTACCTTCATTTCGTACTGTAGAACCATACCAGGTAATTAAATTTAACTTCATCACTCTTCATGGTTGTTAAAACATGGGAGAGATGTCGTTTAAACCACAGTATTTCCAAGCAGTATTTTAATAGGTCTCTTCACAGAGAGATGTTTTCAGGTGCACGTTGACTTCCTACTTAAATCTCCAAGTGATATGCCAGCACTTGGAATTTGTACTTTTTTTGTATAGAAAAACAAATAATCTATGGGAATTTTGAGCAATATGTTATTTCATGTGTGAGTATTACAGAGTTGCTATGGCTTCTCTGTTTTTTCAGTGGTTTTTTTCTCTATAAAGGAGCTACCGACAACTTTAAAAATACTCTAAATCTCTTTTGTTTCACCAAATACGTGTTTTTAATATGGTGCTAACTTCATAATTTAGGTCAGTATAATATATAAAATGTGAAACATAATCATAATGGTCAAGGAAAAATATCCCCAACAACAGACAAGCAAAATCCCCCCCCTACACAAACCAACCCCCCCAAATAAACAAACCAAACCAAAAAAAAAAAAAAAAAAAAAAGAAAAAAGAAAGAAAGGAAAAAAAGACAAACCCGTACCACAAAAAAACCCCAATGGCTTAAGAGACCTCAAAAGCATGGACTGGCAAACACTACTGTTTAACATTCTACCTGATGAACAGAATTAATTATTAAACTAATCACATACTTCTTTAGAATACAGGTTTTATATTATTGGATCGTGCATTTGTTTAGCTGATACTGAAAATACATTTGTGAACGTGCTGTTTAACTCCCAAAAATTAGAAAATAAAAGCTCATTTCTAAATTACTGGAAAGAAAAAGGTAGGTTTGCTATCTTGTAAAACTTTTTGGTCCCTGTGAAGGGGCATATTTGTGCAGTAGCTTTATTAAATACACTAGTTCTTAATATTGTGACACTCTGCAATAAGAATTACTGTCTCAAACATGGATTTACAATATAACCCCCATCTGCTCCACTGGAGCAGTTTAAGTTAAATTGAGTACATCATTTGCCTCTTTGTCCTGAAACTGCCAAAATAAAGAGGCAGGGGGTGGGGAGATGTTTCTCTCCTTGAAGCAGCAACAGAAATTTTGTTTCCAGTAAGGGAAGGGATAGTCTGTGTCTAAGGCAGGTAGTCTGTATGTTTACCCACCTAAAAACATGGTGTTTCTGATACAGTTTTTTCCTTGAGTGTTTGTTTTAAGTAATTAAATGCAAAAAGTGTGTTTTGGTAAATTAAGTTTGAGACATGCAAAATCCAAGAAATGTACAGTTATTCTTAACCCTTTATCTTGAACCTGTGCTGTGGTGCCTTTGGTGTGACTTTTTCCCTGGAAGGATGACTTGAGGATAGCAGGATATGGGTACAAATTTATATTTCTTGAATTTCTCTGTGTCACAATCTTAGCATTATTTAAATATAGTTCGTTGTATTTGTAAATGTATTAAATGGTTTGAGTTTACCAAAGAGTGACTTATCCAAAATTGTCTCAGACAAAAGCGAACAAAACCACACCATCACGTTGATTGTACAGGTTCAGGTTCAAGCGTTGTGAGAGGCTGTGAAGGGGCAGGAAATGCTGCATTTTGCAGAGCCCGTGGTTCAGCAGTGTGCCAGTGCTGCTGGCGCAGCCTCCCGCGGGCAGGTTCCTCACTCCAAGCCATAGCCCAGCCCTGCCCAGCCCGGAGCCAGCCTCAGCCGGCAGCAGCAATGCCACTGTGCCTTGTCACACACACAGCGCGGCCACGGCCACGGCCACGGACACGGACACGGACACGGACACGAGGCGCCACGGGCTTTGTGCCACCGGCCCCGGGCAGGAGCCCCGTCCTCGGCACACGCTCCCGTGTCTGTGCGCTCCTCAGCACAGAGCTGTTACCATTTCATTTACAATAAATGCAGAAGTCGGTAAAATATGTGAAGAAATATTTGACAGCAAAATAAGTAATGAAATTATACAGGCTGGTTCATAATTGAGTCTCTTAATCTACCTTTTTAATTCTAGACAAATGTGAAAACAGTGACAGTGTCCTTTCCTCTAGATGCTTAACCTATTCTGACAAACTGTGAAAATAAAGGATTTTATACCTTTGCTAATGTTTCTGGTTTAAAACTATTATCTTAGTTTTCTTTATTGGTTATCTCCCATATTATTTCTTTTAAACTTGTAAATACATTTAGAAAATAGCTTTGTAAATACTTAACAGTGTATTAAAAGTTCAATTTGGTCACTAAGGCCTCAAGATTGGTTCTGCTTTTTAAGTGTGAAATCTTTCTGTAGAATAAAGGATACTGTCAGTTCACTGTCAGCAGGGTAGACTGTAGGCCTAAATTGAGAGTTTTAATGCAGTCTTCCCCAGCATAAATTCATGTTTTATGCTGAAGCCTTTGGTTTACTTTTACACAAAACAATGAGGCCTCTTAATATGTTTAGGCTGAATTATGGGAAGAACAACAGGAATAAAATCAAGGGCTGGGAAAATATTGAATAAGCTTTACCTTTAAATATATATATATTATTTGAATTTTTGTATTAGTTTACTGTGATTCTTTTATTGTCATTTTTCTAAACAGGTTTCACATGAAACCATGGAAAGGGACTCAAATATGCAACACCTAATCTATTTTCCAGGGGAATTTTACCCTTGAATGGTGCTTTTTGACTGGTCAGGGTTATTTATTAAATTTTATATTTGAAAGTATTTGGGGAATTATGTAAATTCTTTATATGAATCTCTTTATTTCATGAATTGTAAATTTCATAATACTCAGTGATCAAATTGGAAGTTTAGTAAAGTCATTCAAAATGTTCAAACTTTATATAATCTGTGTGCATTTTACATATATTTTATCAAGTGCCAGAATACTTGTATTTAATATTGTAGATTTAATACTACTTGCACATCCCTGTGGCAGCATTAACTTAAGTTACACAAGTTTACATTAAAAGAAAAAAAAAAAAGCTAAACAAATAAGTAAGCCTGGAACATGTGTTCCTGTATTTGTTCAGGGGATGTGAAGCCACGTACCACTGACTGAGCAGGTTTGCTTCTTGCTCGTGGAGCTCACTCCTGCCATGGCAGAGACAGAACTGCTGACTCCCATTCCCACAGGCCAGGGATTCAGCCTTGGACTCAGCCCCAGAACCTCTGCTTGTAGATCTGGCTAGAGGCAGAGCTCTTGCACAGTTTTAACAGTGTTCGTTTCTGACTGAAAATTTGTATTTTTAAATAACTTTTATTTGTATGGTTATTTTTCAAGATAAATAATTGAACAGTTTGAATGACTTGACTTGGTGTCATTATCTTGCAATATAAACCGGGAACCTCACACCTCCGCACTTCATCGCCACGTGAAGTAAATGAAGCTAGCTAAGCTGATGCTGTAAGAATTAGGAACTTGCCATTAAGGATTATTTTACAGCATGAACTTTAAAATATTTATTCAAATGATATTTTACTCTTGTATTCACTTTGTTTTTAGATTTGTGACATGAATATTTCTGTGCTGCTTTATTTTGTTCTGATGAAATTGTTTCTTGCTTGTAAATGGCTTTTTTTATGGTATAAAGTCAATCAGAATTGCTGTTTGTAAATTAAAATGCTTCTAGAGCAAATCTGTGGTGTCAGTGTCTATATTTAGATATTTAATTACTAAGGGGCTTGCATTTTAGGTGCTCTTACTGAAGTGTTACAAGAAGCATTTTAATACTGATCTACCAAGTAGAAATCAAGAGTCTTTAGAGAAAACTACTCTTGAATTTTTTTTGTTTTGCCAGCATTAATTGCTTAGTTCTGAACAGATGATCATTTGAGTTGTGTGCTCCAAAACCTCATCCAACTTTCAGAGCAAAACAAAAAACCCGGCCAGGTGGTGACAATCTCTCCATGCCATTCCAAGGCAGGTCTGTTGAGGAGGGATTCCCTGCTTCATTCCTACAGCAGCATTTATGTTTTATGTTCTGCCACATATATCAGTAGGGCTGATGCTGCTCCCAGCACTCCTCCTCACCCACAACCTTGAATTTAACAGGAGCAGCCCCAGTGCAGCTGTAGGCCACGGTTATCTGGACTGGCAGTGGGATTTGGAGGGACTGCAGTTGAGTGTGTTAGTCCCCGAGTCCCTGTTGGTGTCAGAAAAGCTACTCCAGCAAAACCTCCCTTCAAATCCCCTTCTTATTAGGTCTGAAATTTCAAGTAATGCAGAATGGGGTAAACAGGACCTGACCTTTAGGAGTGGGATAAACATTGCACTGGGATCCAGGCCACTGAGATGATCAGGTGGAGCATCCCTGCTATGGAGAAGGCAGAGGAAGCTGGGGGTGCTCACCTGGAAAAGAGAAGGCTCTGGGGAGAGCTCCGAGCCCCTTCCAAGGCCTAAAGGGGCTCCAGGAGAGCTGGGGAGGGACTGGGGACAAGGGCCTGGAGTGCCATGACAAGGGGCAGAGGGCAGAGGGCAGGCCTAGATGGAAAATTGGAAGGAATTGTTCCCTGTGAGGGTAGTGGGGGCCTGGCACAGGGTGCCCAGAGCAGCTGTGGCTGCCCCATCCCTGGCAGTGCCCAAGGCCAGGCTGGACTGGGCTTGGAGCAGCCTGGGACAGTGGAAAGTGTCTCTGCCCATGGCAGGAAGGTAGAAGGAGATGAGCTTTTAAATTATTCCAAGGCAAATCATTCTGATTCTACGAATGTTCTGAAATACCTGAATTTTTATCATCCTAGCTGGCACATCTGAATTCAGATTTTACATTCTGAAAAACAGACCCAGAGATTGGATACTTGTTTAAAAAGTGCTATGAAATACCACTTTCAGCAAAACAGAAAACAGAAGACAAAGATTTTGTGAAAAGATTGCTAAGGGAAAAAAATTGGTTCAGGTTAAAAAGCAGCAGTTCTGTTCACCTGATCTTTGTGTACATGCAGACATAGGCCCCATTGGTTAACTTTTCCTAATGCAAGCTTCTTGAGAAGAGATTGAAGGGAAGGCGAAATAGCCAATGAACATAACATACGGACTGCATACTCTTCCAGCAATAATAAGGCAGAGAAATGAAGTCCAATCCCATGGATACCACATTTAATGAATTATATGAAATAGCGTAGTACAATTGTATTGTGCATGGTTTAGGAAGAATTTAAATTGAATATTATCTCAAATGTAAGTTGAATTATAGATAGAAAAATTTCATTAAAATTTAGGGAAATTATGCGGCTGATGACACTGTCTAAAGTAACATCACTTGTCTGTGCATTCTTTGCCACCAGGGGGTGCTCGCGGACTTTTAAAAATATGTTCTTAGGGGTCATTTAAGGCACTGTACATAGCAGAAGCCTAAAATAGGAACAAAAAAAAAAAAAAAAAAAAGAGAAATTTCCAGTCCTCGTTATGACACCTTCAAGAGGAGCAGGTGCTGGGGGATTCCACTGTTAGCAGAGCAGTATTTATACCCAGGATTTCAGAGGCTGTCCTCCCGTGAGAC